CGAAGTTCAGACATGTGGCAAATCCCGTGTGTTTTTCGATTCTGACCCTACGGATCTGAGTGAGGGGTGCCGCCGAATTTCAGAACTGTGGCAAATCCCCTGTGTTTTTGGACCCTGATCCGCCGATCTGCGTGAGGGGTGCCGCCGAATTTCAGAAATGTAGCAAATCTGTTGTGTTTTTGGACCCTGACCCCGCCGATCTGCATGAGATGCCGCCGAATATTAAAGATGTGGCAAATCCCCTGTGTTTTTGAACCCTGACCCCGCCGATCTGCGTGAGGGGTGTTAATTTTTACCCGCCCCAGCGATTTAGACAACACGCTCAGGGCGTGGTAAACCTGCCCGTTTGGGCCTCCCCCCCTCGCGCGGTCCATCAACAAGGAACAGTAAGCAGCAAGAAGCAGAACTGTAACAGTGGAAACTGGAAGCTGCAACTGGTACAGGAAACTGCAAACCTTCGGCCTACAGCCTATTGGCCCCACAAGGTGGCTGGCGGATTTTCGGCGCCTGCGGCGGGCTGTTTTTGAATTCTTTCCAGATGGAGGTGGAGAGCCCGCGACCCACCCGCAACCCAAACTCCGTTCACTGAACAAGCCCAATTTTCGGCGCCTGCGGCGGGCTCGTTGTATAGCTTGAAAATGTTGCGCCTGCGGCAGGCTTCTTCAGAGCCTCGCAGACTGCAGACGTCCCCGCCGCCCCTTCACTCTGATCCGCAACTGCGGGGTGCTACGTATACTTCGTCTCCTCGTACAATGTTGGGATTCGTTTTATGGCGGTATCTAGGGTCGTCTTGAGGCCGTCTTGAGCCGCCGTGGACCTTTCTTTGAGTTACATCCGGCCTCTCTTGGCGGCCGTGGTATCTGCCCAGGCCCTCTTTGCAAGCTCGGGAGCGCGGAGCCATTTCTATACGAGGGATCGTGGCCTCGGGAACCGACCCATTGGCGTACAGTCGGACGGAAGTATGAGATCGAGGTCTGTTCGGGAAGGGCACCCTCAGATGTTTCGTGCTTGTCGGACGTTCTTGTGCATCCTGGGGGGGGTACCCTCGCATGTTCTGTGTGCTTTGGCCGATGTTCTTGAGGGATGTCCCTATGGCCTAGGTCCGACTGTACGAGGGAGCATGGCCTCGGGAGGTGGGTGCATGCACGCACGAGTCTGTTGGGGGGGGGGAGGTCACTCGTCCTCCTCCTCTTCCTCCTCCTCCGCCTCCTCCTCCTCATTTCCCCCTCCTCCTCCTCCTCCTCCTCCTCCTCCTCCTCCTCGTCCTCGTCCTCGTCCTCTTCCTCCTCCTCCTCCTCGTCCTCGTCGTCCTCGTCCTCCTAATGCAGAGGCCCAACCTGGCAGAACTTGACACGATTCCACGCCTCCGCGTGCCAGGGGGGCACGGCGCCAGATGACGGACCATCGTGTCCTGAGAGGTGAACATGTTTTCCGTGGTGTGCAATTCGCACACGCGAGAGGGGGAGGGGGACGAGGAGAGGGTGCCAGGGCTCGTTTCGATTCCTCCGATTCGATCCGATTCGACTTCGATGGCTTCCGATTCCGATTCGATTGGACTTCGGATTCCGATTTGGGCTCCGATTCCTTACTGGAGGCATATTAGCCTGCCGATGTCCGCCGATTCGACTTTTCCCGACTCGGCCGCCGATTTCCGCCGATCCGACTCATTTCGATCGCCGATCCGACTTATCGATTCGATTCTGGGCTCCCCTGGAGGGGGACGAGGAGAGGGTGCGGAGAGATAGAGCCGAGGAGGAACTATTATATTGTCGAGGAGGGTTGGCCTGAACAGGTCGAGGAGAACGATGAGGAGACTGGGTGGGGAAGCAGGGGCGGGGTCCCTGACAAAGAGGAGCCGTCTGTAAATCAGGGAGTCCCGCGCCGCGCGGCGGCTCAGGACGACGAGACTTACAAGCAGGCCGCGGCTTTTCTGGGACGCCGCGGAGCTCCCCCCACCCATCCCTGGCTCAACTCCAACTCGTTTGCTGCAGGAGCGGTGGTCACGGCGCTCTGAGCTGGCTCCGTGTTTTTGGGAGCGACATGGCCGATGTACCGTGGCAGGCGAGGCGGCCGCAGTGGCGCGCTTGCCCCTGCGCAGGAGCGCGCCCGTGTCGGTCCGAGAGCGAGCAGCGCTTTGTCGTGGTGCGGCTATGCGGCTGCGTTTCGCGCTGCTGTCGGCGCGATGGCCACTGTGGAGAAGAAGCAGGCTCAGCAGGAATGGGAGGGCAGCAGAGGTGGAACATCTCGCAGATAGGGTAGCTTGATGGGCCAAGTGTCCACCACCACTGCCATAGGTAGGATCGGGGAGAAGGGAGGATAGAGGAGGTCCTCCTCCTTTTCCTCCTCCTCCTCCTCCTTCTCCTCCTCGTCATCCTCCTCCTGCTCGGGGGGGGCCCCAAGTGTGGGGTCGGGCTTCGGCCCCCTGGCGGAGGCGGGGACCGCCGGGCCCTCGGGGCGACAAGCCCCCGCACCCCGGGGGACGCCGCCAAGGTGCGGTTTCCTTCCCCCTTGGGGGTCGCCAGGTCCCGTGGCCTCCCCCAGGGCGGTGCTGGATCCCTCCCTAGCGCTCGCCGCCCTGGGGCGGGACCGGCGGCTCGTCTCTGTCGTGTCGTGTCGTCCGTGTCGTGTCGTGCGTGTGGTGTCGTGGCCGTTGCGTCCCCCCGTCGTGTCGTGTCGTGTCGTGTCGTGCCTCTTTTTGGTTCGGTCCTGGGTGTCCTGGGGTCCGAAACTTGGGCCCCTGGGGGCGGGTGGCGCGGCGCCGTCTTTTGGCGGCGCCGCGCAGCCCGTCCTTTCGGACCCCCGTCGTTTTCCCCGTGTAGTTTGGTCGGGCTCGCCCGCTGGCCGCGCGCGCGGGGCGCCGCGCCGCCGCGGCCGGCGCGGCGACACCCTGCGGGCTGAAGGCTGCCTGGTCCTATCCTCCTCCTCCCCCCCTCCTCCTCCTCCTCCTCCTCCTCCTCCTCCTCCTCCTCCTCCTCCTCCTCCTCCTCCTCCTCCTCCTCCCTCTCCTACCTATGGTGGTAGTGGTGGTGGTGGGAACGTCGGCCCATCACAGCTGACCCCCCCCCCTTTCCCCCCCTTCTCCCCCTGCGCAAGCTGTCTGGCATCCGCCGTGCCACGAGGCCGCTTCTGTGCCGCGCAGCAGCCATGCGCGCTGGACGAAGCGGGGCGTCGGTGCCGCGGGTGTCGAAGCTCCTCGACGACGATCTCGGAGTGCCGTTGCTGGAGGGCTTCACGTTGCTTTTAAGCTCGTGACTTTGGACGACTCCTTTAAAGCCCTTCCCAGGGGGCGAGGTTGCACATGTCTTGGGGGGGGTGCATGGGTTTCACAGATTGAGGCATCGCCTAGATGTGAATGACTTGGTCTGTGCTGTGCGCGGCATGTGTGCTGATTCAAAGCTTCGGGCGTGGGCAAAGAGTGTCCACAGAAAGTGGCCCCACCCGTGCTGGCGATTTAACCTGAGTTAGCCAATTCCCATGGCCTACAGTCTATCACAATGCTGGACGGCTAAAGGAGCGCACGAGGGGCTCCCAGTTCGAAGGCTTCAGAGATTCTGACACCGTCTTGGGACATTTTATATTACTCGTGCTCCTATGATCACTCCCCCTCCACAGTCATCCCCCCCAGGTTCTCGCCCCCATACCCCCCTTTCTCATGTATGTTCCTCCTTCCTCCTCCCCCTTTTGCTCCTCCTTCTCGTGTCTTTTCGTCCGCCTCCTTTCGTAACAAGATTGGCGCAAGAGGCAGCGCTCCCCAGCTGAACATGTGGATACGTGTGTCCCGAGGCCAATTTCCACCACACTTCGGCCAGTTCGCCTTGGGTTGGATCTGGCCACCACGGGGGCCGAACGCGTTCTCTTTTCAGGCCATGCTGCTTCCCAAATGCCTTGGGGGCCACAGCGCCTTCTCGGCGCGCCAAGACTGCGGCGACTGTGCCGTCGACTTCAAGAATGCCGAGATGGTGATGAGTGCGCGAGGTGCTCGTCACCCCGAGATCCCTGCTCGCATTCGTACTTCTCACGACTACAAGCGGACCACGCAGCACCCGTCGTAGCAGTCGAAGTGAAAGATGGGCCCCCTTTGGTACGGTCAGTTTATGCGGCGTTGGCGCGCGGGTGATGTCGGCGAAGGCAAGCTATGTGGTATCCTGCGACCCGGAAGCGCCGATGGACGGCAACGCCATTGGACCCGACTGGATTCAACCTTGAACGATCGGGGCCGCGATCGATTCGAGCTTGAACGATCGATGCGGTGTCAAAAACCTTTGCGCGCGCCGACGCCGCTCGAGGCCCGACGCCGACCCGGCCGCGCTCCTCGCCCCACTGGTTGAACGTGCGCAGCCGTCCACGACGACACCCGCACGCTCCAGCGCCGCCAGGGCGGAGCAGAGACTTGTCCAGCTCCGCTCGCCCCGCGATGATGTTTATATTAATAGAGAGAAAACCCCAGCCGGTGGATGGTTTGATGAACCGTGGGATCGATGAAGAGACGATAAGGAGATCGACTAACCTGGGAACCCAGAGCCCACCGAAATCGGCCCAGAACCAATAACCAGGAACCCCGGAACCCGGAACTGGGGAACCCGGGAACCCGGCCGGCCACCAACATCGGCGTTTTTTTTTTCGCCAAGGCTTTCAATTTCCGCTAGGACCCCTACAGTGCAAGCACCGATTCGGGAAATACTTCGCCCGCGCCCCGGACCTGAAACACCGGGCCATGCAGAAGACTGCGTGCCCGGCCGGCCGCTCTATGCATTTGTTTGCCCCATCTCATGCATGCAAGAGGCGGGCAAGCCCGGACAGCACAAGATTGGCATCCGCATTTTGGATGTACCGGCCGGCATACTTATCCGTGGTGTTAGGCGTGTAGTTTGTTGGACGTCATGTTTTTCCCCTCACGGCCTGCGGGCTGATCCCATCCCTTGCTCTCAGGCGTTTCATTGGAAAAAAGAAGACCGCGTACGTTGCGGCCCAGGCCACGCGCAGTTACGGAAGCTGACGCGATGGCGCAGCAGGCTTCCATCGAACATTTGGAGGCCAAGCTCCGTGTCAACCTGTCGAAAGGCCGATTGAGCAGTCCAACGTGCAGACCGCTCAGCCAGGCTACGTCCCCGATGGCACAATGATTATTTTTTACGGAGGACGACTCGTTGTCCAGGGACCTCCGACTTGAATGGCGAGGCGCAGAATCAGCTGAAGCAGATTGAAACATCATTTGGTTGAGATTGAAGACGCCACGGAGCTCCAGGCCACAGCTCAAGAGACAAGTCGGCAAGAGTGGCAGGCTTGAGATATAGGGCAGCGCCGCCGCCAGTACTCCATCGCTCGCGGTGGTCAGGCGGCACCCGCGGTCCTTGCAGCCGCGGGCCTTGGAGCTGGCGCGGGTGCTGGCCGTTCCCGATCTCGGCACACTGCGCGTGAACGCATCGAGAAAGCTGAACGCCGGGTTCCGCAAGGTTGCCCGTGCCTTGTGGACGACGGGCGCCAAGCCTCAGAACGCACATAACGCTTTTTTAGAAGGGAAAGAAACACACAGACACAATTAATCGTCGATTCCCCGGAAAATATTGGAAAACATGGGAAGTGGGAGGGAATACAGAAACCCCAAACATATTGGAAAATATGGGGAATCTTCTTATTTGTATGTATTTATTTGTGTGTCCTGGGGTTCAAAGGTTACCCGTGCTCTGTGGACGACGGGCGCCAAGCCTCAGAACGCACATAACTCTTTCGCAGCCCATCACCCGTAAATTGCGTAACTGCGGCGCCAAGCAGCTCAGACTGCTGCTGGAACACGGCCGTGGCCATGCTTGGCGCCGTCGGGTGCAGCTGTTCTGGGCTGGCGTGACCCTGCCAAGTGAGGAGAGAGCACTTGGCGGCCTGACATCGGATGTGGTGCGACAATCCAGGCATGCAGCCTCGCACCGCCCAGTGCTGGGATGAGGTCCGTGCTCGCCTTCGGCTTGTGGGCCTACGGCGCTGGAGGTCTGTGAAAGGCCCGATGAACCCCACCATCGCTACCGTAGCTACCCTGCTTGACACTCATTGAACGCTCCCGGTGGAGTGGGACATGGACAACGGCTTCACCTGGAAGACCCATTCAATCGTGAACGGTAGTTCCCGTGACCTTCTTCAAGATTTCACAGACATCGTGGGCTCGAGTATGTCCTTTTTTGAAGGACGGTTGAGGGCAGCGGCGTCATGTCACAAGGCCGACGAGCGCTCATCGTGGTCGTCGTTGCAGGGGCCAGGTGGCCTCGCGAGAAAATGAGGGCTGCAGGCTACGATGTTGATTGCTCTTGCCCACAGTGCAAATTCACAAAGCGAATCTCTGTTCCATCGCGTCTGGGAGTGTCTTGGCAATTCGAATGACGAATGATGTGTCTTGTGTGGCATTCAAGCATCTCATGGCTACCACAATTGCCCAGAATGGGTCCCCCCCTAGCTGTGGGATTCGGGGCCTACCTGCAGTTAGTGAGACCACTCCCACGTCTTCCCGGGACCCCCTTGCGGTGGTCGATTTCGGTATTCTTGTTATTTGATTTCTGTCGCAGCGTCGATCTGGTCGTCACGATTTTCGGGATGGGTCGGGCGGCAAGTTTTCAGACGGCGTCTGGCGTCGCAGGGTCGGGTGAAAACCACGCTGCAGAAGCGAAGACTGCGTGTGTCGCAAGCTGAGGAAATCGCACGATTCTTCAACCTGGGGGCCACCTCTGGCAATCAGTACGTCACCGATCACCAGTGGGATCCCGAGACGTGGGACAGATGTCAGCCCAGAAGTGGCCCCCCCCCCAGACGCCTGGTAGCAATGCTGACCGTTGGACCCGCATCCAGAAGTCTCACGCCCTCCGCGGCCCCGGGCTGGTTGAGCCGGCCTGGGCCCCGTCTCGCGTCGACGTTGGCTTGCTGGCTGTCCAGTCTGCCCGCCTCCCAGATTCACACTGCTTTCGGCAATGACTGCGCTGGCGCCCTCGCCTCCCCAGCGCGGCCGGGACTGCGTGGTGTATGTAATTCTGTTGTGGCACCAGTCCGCCCCAGCCATTCTCACCTCTGCACGAACGAGATGGGTACGGAAAGAGTGGGTACAATGCCTAACTGCAGTGCCTGTTCATGTTGCACAGGACTCGCTGTCCACGCCGCCGGGGCCTGTGTCCATTCGGGGCAGAAGGCCACCTGCCCAACAGCGGCCGCTGTTGGTTTAGGACTACAATTGTTGTTGGGCATTGTACCCCTTCTTTCCGTGCCCATTTCGGGCGTCCAAATCACCGACGAGGGGGACGCCGCTTTGGCACTGGTCCGACGGAGAGAGAGGAGAGTCCTGGCCAGAAATGTCCAAACCGATCCTTGGGACGCGGAGTTGCAGCCACCCTGACCCGGCGAGCCCGCTGTCCCCAAGTTTGCGCGGGCGCTCAAGGAGTCCCGTCATGTTCGTGCCCAGGCTGGCATCAAATTCGTATGCGAGAAATGTAGCGATTTCGCATCGGTATTCGATTTTCCAGCTGCTCGAGCAGAGGGGAGCAGAGCGGGGGGGGGGGCAGGGATACTGCTCCCTGTAGCGCCGCCCGCCGGATCGAAAGCCGAGCCTTGCACCATTTCCACCACCTCCAGCATTGGACGAAACATATGCTTACCTTATGCTCTTGTGGCGGGAAGTCCTGCGCCTCCGACGGCAGACGCTAATGGCAGCTATGCGAGGTCACCCCCCAGGGGCAGGCATAATCTTGTCCGCATGCAGCGGGGTTTGGGCCCGCACCCTGGCGGCCCCCCTCGGACAGGCCGAGGGGCTCGGAGCTCCATGGCCCAATTTCCCCACTTGCTTCTGAGCTTTGATTTGGCCTACGTTGTCAGTGTTTCCAGTGTTGCTCATGCCCTCCCACTCCTTTCCTTCTCCCCCATCCTACCCCCGCATCATGCTCCCCCCTCGGAGGGCGGGGCGGTGTCTTCTCTTCTCCCCATTATCATCCTCGTCATCCTCCCCCGCCAGTTCTGAATCGTCGGAATTGCTTCAGTGTCGGAGGCACGCTGCTCCAGAGGAGGAGGAACAGGAGGACGCGGTGCGGTGCCACAGGCCCTCTTTGAGGGCTATTGCTTTTGTGTTTGGGCACGCTCAGGCCAGTGCGTACCTTGTCGGCAGCACGTCTTGTACAAACTGATGTGCTATGCCACAACGGCCCACACTGTCTCTTCGTTGTTTTGGTTTGGGAGTATTCGTTGGCTCAGAGTTCGTCGGCCCGACATCTCGAGGATCGAGGGTGTAAATTTTTGGAGTTGGTTGGTCCATCTCATTTCTCTAGGAACGCGTTGCCTTTCCCCATTGCCTCCGATAGCGGGCGTTACCTGCGGCGGGGGAGGCAGGGGTAATGGGTAAGTTAATGTCACGATTTGCGCTCGCGTTTACGGGACTGAGTGCGTCCACAGAAGGCGTGGCAATTCACGCAGTCAGCCTCTCCCTCTCGCTCCCGTTCCTCCGCCTCCTCTTCGCCCCCTCCCCTCACTCTCTCCTGGCGCGTATGTTTGGCAAGCGTGCGCCATCTCGTGCGAATGTGCGTGTCGTGGTCCCGCCTTTACATGTTGTATTTGTTGGCAGCATTGTCGCATAGTCTTGCTAATTTGTTTATCTGGAATATGTGAGCCAACCGTGCTCCTTTCGAGTCCCTGCCGATGCGCCGTTGCCTGGCGACTGGGTTTCCGACAGACGTACGTGAAAGGCGTTTGTTGACGTCACGATTTACACTCACAGTGGTTGGAAATGCGTACGGATTGCCAAGAACAGCTATATGATCAGGTTGGCAGGGTGCTGCGAGAGAGAAAGAGAGTTATGAATAACTCAGGGAACGTGTGAGATCAACTGCGCATATGTTCTAAGCCTTTGGAGCAAAGCGCAGTTGGATATTGCTGGCTATCCGTAGCTCCTCTCAGCAAGCCCTGCTGTCATGCGTCGCTATTCCTGGCACCTCCCTGCCTGCATGTTTTGCGGTTCTTAGCCAGTCCTCATCCTTCCCGAAGTTGCCGGTGCGCATCGTGGCGCTGCTGGGTGCCAGCCCAGTAACGGGCCGTGTTGCGAATCTTTTGAGCAACGTCTCCAGGGCCCTTGCGGATCTCCGGGAGGCTCTGGAACCATTCAGGTTTTTCTTCGTACTTTGTGTTTCTCCTCCTCATTCTCATTCCCCCTCTCTTCATCCTCATGTTTCTCCTTATCCTCTTTCTCCTTCTCCTTCTCCTCATTCCCCTCCTCCTCCTCCTCCTCCTCCTCCTCCCTCTATTCATCCTGCCCCGTCGGGTACAAAAGAGTTTAGATGGTGATGGAGTGTGGAGGAGCGCCGAAGGATACGACAGGAGGAGAACGAAGGACCAGGCTTTGAGGATAGAGCAAGGATGAGGCAGACAGGAGGTGGGAATTATTTGATAGAGGGTGGAGGGAGGAATGGGGGCAGGAACGGTGCGAGACAAGGCAATTCGGACAGGAGCAGGAGCAGCAGCAGTAACGCAGTAGCAGTAACAGGATAGGGTAGGTGTGGAGGACGGGGACGAGAGGAGGAAGCGGAGGAGGAGCAGCATCAGGACGAGAACGTGGACGAGGGATGAAGGATGCGGGATGATGACGACGATAACGAGGTGAGGGGAGAGGAGCAGCAGGATGAATATGATGAGGACGAGCAGGATGGCGACGAAGGAGCCTGGCGTCCGACGTGCCTGTGTGCAGCAGCAAGACTGTGCGCAAGCGAGGGAGGACAGGGCGGGACGACGAGGCAGCGGATCAGGACGAGGGAGGAGCAGCAGCATGTGGAGCTGCCCCGGAACCAGTCCCCGCCCAGGTGCCCGACCAGAGATGCGAAACGAGAAGCAAGAGGTGGATGAGGAGGATGAGGAGCAGGAAGGGGACGGGGGAGGAAGGAGGAGGAAGGAGGAAGAGGAGGACGGAAGAGGGAGGATGAGGGAGCATAGCAGGAGGATCAGGAGGGAGGATCAACATCAGGATCGGGAGCAGGATCAGGAGGACGGAGGGGGAGGAGAGGAGGAGGAGGAGGAGGAGGAGGAGGATCAGGCCGAGGAGGAGGAGGAGGAGGAGGAGGAGGAGGAGGAGGACTGGCGAGCGGGGCGACTGGGTGCGCGGGTGAGGCCCTCCTGGACATCAAGGAGGCCGAGTTGCAGGCCGCCAAGGACCGGCGCGTGCCCCCCCCCCCCCTGGAGAGCGGCGGAGGCTCCGGGGAGGAGGAGGGCAGCGACGCCCGCGGCAAAGGCGCCGCCGGAGGCAGCGCCCAGGCCTCCGCCGACCGCGCCCTGCCACCCGACGGCCCCTCCTCGAGCTCCGCCGTCGGGGGCCCGTCCTCCGGGCCCCCCCGGGCCCTCACGGCCGGAGCTGGGGCGAGGCATGGACCCCATGGGGAGGCAGGCAAGACGACGCGAAGATCGGGACAAAATCGGATCGGGGTAACTCGAAATCTCTGAGAATCGGCGGGATTGGAGGATGTATTGGGCGCCGCGGCCGCTCCGGAGTGTTCCGGAACGCTCTGAGAGCGCTCCGGAACGCTCTGGAGCGATTTATCCCGATCCTAGCCCTGTTTTGCTGAGACCCCGGGTCGAATCAGCGTCGTTTGACCGACCCCCGTCCCCAATGCCCATCCCCTTCGAGACGAGTTGCCCCCTCCCAAGTTGGGGACACACCCCTCGAAGCCCGAAGGGAACGGCCTCCTATATCCCCATCTAGGGGGGTGAATCGGCCAGCGGGGCCTGGGCCACGTGCCTGAGATCCGGGCGCTGCACTTTTTTTCTCACTGGTCGCTTTCCCCCAATTTCGAGCGCCAGGGCCCTCACAGATCGACCTGGATCAAGAAATGCCGCAAAAGGTGGGGTTTAAGGTGCCGGATCTCAGGGGGAGGCGGAGAAGCTGAAAGTTGGCTGACCTGCAGAGAGTTATGGTGACCTCCGTCTCACGTGCCTCGTCCGCGCACTCCTCTGCAACACCACCCGCCCCCTGCTCTCCCCAGCCATCGTCCTTGCTGTCTGCTCCTTCCGGCCTTCATGAGGAAGCAAAGTATGCACGTGAACCAGGATGTGTGTTAATTTGGACCATCCCTTGCCAACAACATCATTCGCAGACAAGGTTATCTGCCGCCACCCAGACGCCAAGCATTTGGTGACGGCCTTTTGACATGAGAAACCAGCCATCCCTGTATTCCCCGTGGCCCCTTTGACTCCCAAGCACTCTTCGCTCAGGAGCTTCAAGGGCCCCAGGATGTAATAGGCTTAGCACTAGACACAAACGAACAGCGGGCTCTCATCGGAACAATCGAAAGACAGGAGCCTATGACCTTGCTCCCCCACTCCCAAAATCATCGCAGGAACCGGCCCCGAAGAACCAGAGGCCGAGGGGCGGATCTCCTGACAATTGAAGCGCCATCATACACCACACCTCCAGACCGGACGCAGTCAGGACCAGTCGTGTTCAAAAGAAGCACCCGTCTCCAGAGTTGACCTGGGACGTCGGGTGAGCTCAGCCCCTGTCAGGTCGAGCCTCGGCCGGAGATGCAGGAGCCGTGCTTAGATCCGAGCGACCCAATGTGCCACCAGGATTTGCCAACTCAGCAGACCTCGCTCGCTCGCTGACGGCTGCGGGTGAAGCCTGAGGCCCAGCTTCGCCACCTTGCCAGCTGAGCCATTACCACATGTATAGAAAGCGTCTTGGTCTGAGTGTACCTCTCCTCCGAGACGTGAGCCTAGGCAGGAGGAGAACCATGGAGGATGGGAGCAAGAGCTGTTTTCTTGCGGCCTGGGTCCAACAATGAATTCATCCCAGCAGCGCCAGAGACCCCTTCTCGATGGTAAGGTCCTTTCTCTCTTCGGATGGTTACCGTTACCGTTTAACTGTCCGAGGGAAGGTGCACGATTGCTGTTTGTAATTCGGCAGTTTGCATTATTTGGTAACTCCTCGCACCTCATACTGGGATGTATAGGCATGGTACTTAAGGCAAGCTACAATGAAGCCACCATCCGAAGCAGAGAAAGCAATGGGACAGTGCCTGAGCGAACGAAGGGCGGCCCCCTGCACTTCAATTCCCGCCCAGGAACTTTTGTGCACGCTTCGGGGGGGAAGAAGGGCCTGATGCATAATCATTTTCTGATTCATTGTTTTCCCGATCGGCGCAGGCCATCGCATCCCCCCCATTTCGTAGATCTTGGCTGTTTTTGGTGCCTGTTTCAAGCGGGTGGGGTCTCCCCCATAGGACGCACTGTTGCAAACAGTCGCATTAAGCAGAGGTCCGTAGCCAGACCCCCCCCCTTCTCCTCCGCCCAGTGTCCAAACGCCGAATAAGAGTACGTTCACTATTGTGCTAGCCGTTCTTCCTCATTCGCAATCACGCAGTCCAACGCCAGTGCATGAAGTAGCTCTGGGGCGGGGGCAGTCGCCCGGAAGGCGAGGTCGGACAATCCCCAATCTTACGAGGGTGAGCGTCTCCGCAGCCTTTGGAGACTCTTCTGGGGGTTTTGCCACGGGCATCCAGAGAGATCGTGACTGGATTTCCGGGGCAGACTGTTGCCAGTAAATGAACCAGTTGCTTTCCGACATCGCCCAGCCATGCGTTCTGCTATGTATCCGTCGCCCCCCCCCCCCGGGGGCGACGCGCGCTCAGCGATCTGATTTTGCATGCTCGGTTGTCGGGGAGGGTGTTCCCTCACGGCTGCTGATGGAATGTCCCGCTGGTTTTGCCGCCTCGCTAATGGTCCGCAAACTCTCCACTAATGGCCCGCTGATGGCCCACTGATGACTCCACTAAAGGCCCCGCTAGTGGCCCACCAACGATATTGGCCCACTCAGGGCCCACTCATGAAATTGACCCACCGATGGCCCACCAATGACCTGCTAATGACGTTTGATCGTCGAACGTGTCGCTCCCTGTTTCTCTTTCGCGGTAACGCGATTGCAATAACCATTCTTGCCATATCAGGCGGCCATTAGCGTGCCAGCAACCGTCCGAAGGTATTGCGAGGCAGGGCCTTTCATGAAGATTGTAGGCGCTTTCTGACGATACCACCTGGGTAATGATGTACTAGAAGATGTGCTTGCAATCTGCTCGGTTCGGGCGTGTGCATCCAAGGGGGGCGCAGTGTTCTAGTATGTCCTTATGCGTCGCATGCCTTCACCACCATCTTCTGGAGGCGTAGCTGCGCCAGCTCAGCCTCCGAAGAAGAGTGGTGTCGAGGAGCGGCATCTGCACGGGCGGCGCTGTCCGCTGCCTGGTTCCTTGGGCGTCCCCAGCGCTCAGGAGAAGGGATGTCCTGTTCGGATTGGTCTTGATGCTCATTCAATTTGACGACCGATCAAATCGGTTCCGACCCGAGACGACAGCACGTCATGATGAGGACAAGGAAGGAGGAACGGCAACGGGAGAAGGAGGAGGTGGAGGAATAACAGGCTGCATCTTGGTCCGAGGACGTTGGGAAGGAGGGGATGGGGGTATGAGAAGGAGGAGGAGGAGGAGGAGGAGGAGGGCAGAGCAGAGGGAGACGATGAGATGAGATGAGATGAGACCAATCGCGAAGCGATCCGAAACATAAGCCACCCTCGGAGTACTACGAGCAGCATGATCAAGAAGCAGAAGACCGCCGACTCCAGCACATACTCTGCAAGCAATTCCAAAAATGCGCCAGACCAATGCCAGGATGTGAATGAATACTAAGCTGAAGTGAAGAAGACTTCATGAGGCACACCGAACAGCCATTTGCCGCGTTTAGCTCGTGCATCCCGACAGTGAAGCGGATCGCCTACCCCACAGGCAGCCTCGCTCCATAACCCCGACACCAGCAGGAAACATATGTACATCTTGTCTTGACCAATGCACAGTGTAGAAGTGACAAGACAACATTTTAGCCTGAACACCACGACCAGCGTGACTAAGAAGCTGAACGAAAGCCGATACCAGCACGAACTCTGCAAACAATTCACCTTGTTGCCTCAGAGTGCGACCGTGATGAAGCAGGAAGCTAAGCTGAAATGAGATGAGTCAGAGGCCAGCAACATATGTACACGTACGCGGTTAGCTTCCCCTGGAGGGCGTTTGAACGAGGACGTTCTTGCACTCAAGACCGCGGAGGGCGTACATGTACATATGTCGTTGCTCGCTCAATGAGACGGGGCGCAAGAGCAGAAGGACGAGCAATACGGGGAAGAGGGAGACGGGACGAGAGATTAGCGGCAGCACCCCAGCAGCGGCAGGCCCAGGACGAGCAGCAGCAGCAGCAGCGGCAGCGGCGGGGTCAGCAGGGCGGGGACGGGGACGACGAGGACCAGCGACGGCGTGGACGGCGGCGAGGTTGCCGCGAGCCTCCTCGTCGACGTCCACGTCGACGTCATTGTCGTCCTCGTTCTTCTCCTCTTCGTAAAAGCTCGTCGGCGACGACGAGCTCGGCTTCGGCGGCGGCGGCGGCGCGTCGGTTCGCGCGCGCCAGGATGCCGAGCGTGCCGCCCTCAACGCCAAGGCGCCAGCCAAGGCGGGCGCGAAGGCCCGCCGGGCGCGACGGCCGTGCGCAGCGTCTGGGGCATGAGCACCGCGGCGGCGACGGCGGCGGCGGCGACGGCGACGGAGGCGGTGGGCGCTCGGGAGCGCAAGTCTGCGCCATTCTTGTCGCAGGGCACATTTTTGCCGACGCTTCCGCCGAACTGAAGAGGGCGACATCCAAACGTTCCGCTGCGGCCGGATCTTGGACCAGTCCCCCGCCAAAGCAGACATGTCCAAGAGATGTTCTCTCGCTCTCGGGCGTTGAACGCGCGGCCCCCTCGCCAATCGAAATAGCCCGATCTAGAGATTCCGCTCTCTAAGTCTATTGGCGCGGCGCCATCGCCAAATTTTTTTTTTGCGGCGAGCAAGACATTGGCAGCGGCTGAATTTGCGAAGGGTCTTGGCCTCCGGCGCGCGAGCCTGGCGCAATCTGCAAAACGGATCTTGTCGCGGAGCGAGGGTTCCGGCAGCCATTCGGGGAGCGGGCCCCCCGCAGGGTGCGGAGCATGGCGCCCCCCGGCCATGAAGGCGGTCGCGCGGGCGTCGTCGGCGACACGAGCGCGGCGGCGGCGGCCCCGACGAGCACGGCGGCGGCGGCGATGGCGACGGCGGCAGCGGCGGCGGCGGCAGCAGGCACGGCGACGGTGGCGGCCACAGCGGCGGCAGCGGCCACGACGTTGGCGGCGGCGGAGACCACTGGGAGCGGGCGGGGGCGAGTGTTAGGGAGGAGGAGGAGGAGGAGGAGGAGGAGCAGGAGCAGGAGGAGGAGGAGGAGGAGCAGGAGGAGGAGGAGGAGGAGGAGCAGGAGCAGGAGCAGGAACAGGAGCAGGAGCAGGAGAGGAGGGGGGGCGGCAGCAGGAGGAAGCGGGCGGGACGAGAGAAGGAGGAGGGCGCAGGGTGGGGCGGGGGTAATTCAGAGAGGGGGTCAGGAAGCGCAAGAGGAATGGAATGCGGGGAACGGCGATGGGGATGAGGATGCTAGGAGAGACGGGGATGCGGTCGTCGGAGGAGACGGAAGAGGAGGGGCCCCCGCTTCACCCTCGCTTGCCTCGCTGCCCCTCTCCCCTCTCCTCCCCTCCTCTCCCCTCCTCTCCCCTCCCCCTCCCCCCCCGCCCGCCCCATCCCTCCTCTCCCCTTTCCGAAAGGGCGACCAGGGAGAACAACAAGCGGAGGGGGGGAGGCGAAACGGGCGAAGAAGGGGGAACGTCAGGGCCGTCCGTTCCCTTCACTGCCGCAGCTACCTCGGGCTCGGCCTCCGCGGCTTCGAACAAGTTGTCTGTCAAATGCTTTAGAGGAGGCCGCCGCGCGCAGGAGGCACGTGACAGAAGGCTCCACCGCCTCCCCGGCAGATCTCCCCAGCGCCACCCGCCTTTGCCGCCCGGCGGGCAGAGCCGGCTCCCACTTCGGATGCCTGCCCTTGGCGGCTCTCCCCGAGGAGTTCCCCTCGGGGTCCTCGGGGTTTGCTCGGGGGGTGGGGAAGAGGCCACCGCTACCCGGGGGGGGGCCACCTCCCTCGAGGAGGTCCACGGTGCCTCCCCGAGCTGGGCATGGGGGATGAACCAGTCTGCCCGATCCGCCAGTCATCCTGGATCTCCGTTCGGGGACAGGAGGCTTTGCTAGAGCTGTTGCCCAGCTTGGCCTGCTGGTCCTGATGTGGGACACCGCGCTGGGAGAAAAATACCTCTCGCGTCCTTCTAATCGATTTTTGATTTTGGGTTGGGCGCGGGCTGGCCGCGTCAGAGGTTGGCGCGCTGGCGTTCCTTGCAACGCGTTGACGAGGTGTCGCGACCACGGTGTCGGGGCTCCCCCTGTTCGCTCTGATATCCACCTCTTCGGCCTCCCCGCTCTCAAACCTCATTTGCAAGCGATCGCTGATGTGTCCAATGTTCTGGACAGTTTTGTTGCCACTCTAGCGTGAGTCAGTCTGAGTGTGCGAATCCCCCGGAGTATCGAGCACCCTGAGACTTCCAGGTTGTGGTTGCTCCCTCGCTTTAAGGCTCTGCTACGCCGTCGCGCGGCGTGCTTTCATGGCACTTCTATGTGTCAGTTGGGTGCGCCGTGGAAAAAAAACACGGGCCTAATGTTTGGGGACCTCGACCCTAGGCCGTTTGGGAATTCTCGGTGTATAGGCTCCAGGCGGGGCATTTGTTCGCGCGCCCATCGGCCTCATCAGCAGCTCCAAGGTTTCCTGCCTCAGGGCGGTTTCAAGACAAGACAGGGGGCCGAGTACCCGCGCAAGCTTTGCATGGCCCTCGCGCGCTTATTTCATAATGCCGAGGTTCGGGCTTCCGTTCAGGTCATACAGAAGTATTTGTGGAAGCGAGTCTCTCTTGAATTTCGGCGTTGCCAGCTTGCTCAGCAAATTTGGGAACAGATTTGGTGATTTTTTTCGAGGGCTTCGATGGCCCTCGGACTTGAACGTGCCTGCGCCTGTGGTGGCTTCGACGGCAGGATCTTTGCCTGTGCTCCGTGTCTTGCAGTTGCTGGCAGACAAAAGAGCCCAAATGCTTGTTGTGCTTTCACCGGTTTCCGATGATTTCTTGAGGGCCGCCGCCGTTTGATGTCGCTCATGTCTTCCGCCCCCTCCACTCCTCCACTTTTTTTGATTAACACCTGTGATTTTGTTCGAGGGCTTCGATGGCCCTCGGAGTTGAGCGTGCCTGTGCCTGTGGCGGCTTCGACGGCAGGATTCTTGCCTGTGCTCCGTCTCTTGCAGTTGCTGGCAGACAAAAGAGCCCAAAGGAAAAATATCCTGGTGAAGGACCCAACCATATGACTAGATGAATCTGTGAGTACCGCAGTGGTGCGTATCTTTTTCGGTAGCGCTCCCTGTGGGGCCACCAAACGCTGCCAGTGGGGCTTTCAGTGGCGCTCCCTATGGGGCCGCGGAGCGTGTGAGGGGTGTGCCGACATGGGTGGCCCGGACGCGTGTGATCACTGATCACAGCCATTGGGTGAGGGGTGTGACGAAGTCGGCAGCGCCCTTGCATTTGATCACATTCGCTGGGGCCTTCGGTGGAGAGCTCCTAGGGGCCCACGAGGCGGTGTGCTGCGTGGCGCGAGGCGCGTGTGATCGCCTCAACCAGGGCATCCGGTGGAGCGCCTGATGATGAGGCCACGAAGCCTTGTCGCCGTGAGCCCCCGATAGCAAATCAGACCCCCCCCCTCACCACTGAGAGTTGATTCTTTCCGGCCAGGATGGAGATGGTCGGGGGAGAGGGCTGGCGAGGCCGAGTTTCATCATCGCGGGGGAAAATTGTGAATCGAAATGGTGGGCTGCTTATGTTGAGCATCAAAATCTTCACGAACCTGAGGCAGGGCGATGGGATTCTCACAATTTCAGTTTCCACGACTATATCTACGTCTACGATCTTTAATACTATGATTGTTGCAAGTATGACTACCACTATTATTGATATTTTTGCTGCTACTACTACTGTTGTTGTTACTGCTACTACTTCTATTACTACGACCACCACTACTACTACTACTACTACTACTACAACTACTACTACTACTACTACTACTACTACTACTACTACGACTACGACTACGACTACGACTACGACTACTACTACTACTACTACTACTACTACTAATAATAATAATAATACTACGGCTACTACTACTACTACTACTACTACCACTACTACTACTACTACGGCTACTACTACTACTACTACTACTACTACTGCTACTGCTACTGCTACTACTAATACTACTATCACTATTACGACTACGACTACTACTACGATTACTACTACTACTACTACCGTTACTACTACTACCACTACCACTGCTACTACTACTACTACTTCTACTTCTACTGCGACTACTACCTACTACACCGGCGAGTCGCAGTAGTAGTAGTGTTACTACTAGTAGTAGTAGTATTCGTACTACTACGTCTGCTGATACTGCTACTACTTCGAAGACGACTACTACTACCACGGCTACTACTACGCATGTTACTACTACTACTGCGGCGACGATTTCTACCATTACGACTTCTATGGCTACTATTACTATTACAATCTCCACCACTTTTATGACTACTACAGTTATTCGTATTACTTCTACTCCCGCCACTATTGCCACTGTTACCACTTCTACTACGAGTACGACAACGAACGCTACTACTACCACTGATAGTATCATTACGTTTCCAAATGTGACTCCTACCACGATGTATGTTACTACGGTTGTACTTTTAATATTACCACGACTACGTTTACTACTACTATTTCTTTTACGTTTACTCTTACTACTACTACGATTACTACTTCGACTACTACTGCTACTACTACGTCTACTACTACTGCTACTATACTACTACTATTGCTACTACTACTGCTACTACTACTACTACTACGACTAATACTGCTTATTCAACTACGGCTACTACTACTATTACTAATACTAGCATGAGTGCTATTACTATTACGACCAACACTATCACTACGACCATTGTTCCTCTTACTTCTGTTACTAATACGACTACTTCCACCTTTGCGATTACTTCTGCGACCAGTACTTCCACTACTACTTCTACTACGGCTACTGCTGCTACTACTGCTACGACTGCTACTACTACTACTACTACTACTACTACTACTACTAGTACTACTGCTATCTCTGCTACTATGACTTTATTCTACGTCTATCATCACTACTACCACCACTATTATTACTACTCTCCACGATAACCACTACTACGATTACGAGTTCGACTACGACTACGACTACTAATACGTTTACCACCACTGTTTTTACCACTACCACTATTTTTACTATTGCGCCTACTACCGCTACTACTTTTATCACGGTTGCAAGTATTACGACTACTACCATCACGGTTATTACGAACAGTGCGACCATTAGTATAATTATGTTTATTACTATTACTACCATTGCTACAACTCCTACTACTATTTCTATTGTTGTTCTTCCGACTACTACTACCACTACGACGGCTACTACTACTACTGCGACGGCGACTACGATGCTTAGTCCAAGTACAAATTTAAACTACAAGTGTTACTTTTACTACGGTCACTAGCCCCGTCACTTTTTATCGTTACTACGCCGAGCTAGTACGAGGTACTACTACCACTATCATTGTTCTTATTGTACTGTTATATCATTGCTAACAGTACCACTTTTAGTAGTACTACTGCTACTACTACAACCAAGACTACGACTACTACTATTATTGCGACTACTACTACAACTACTACTACTACTACTACTACTACTATTACTACTACTACTACTACTACTACTACCATTTCCACTACTACTACTACTACTACTACTACTACTACTACTACTGCTACTGCTACGACTATTACTTTTACTACGATCACTACTACTACGACGATTACTACTACTACTACTACCACTACTACTACTACTACTACTACTACTACTACTACCACTACCTTTTTTATCACTACAACTACTACTACTACTACCACTACTACTACTACTACTACTACTACTACGATTACTCTTACTACCACTACCACTACCACTTCTACTACTACCATTACTACTACTACTACTACTACTACTACTACTACTACTACTACTACTACTACTACTACTACTACTACTACTACTACTACTACTACTACTACTACTACTACTACTACTACTACTACTACTACTACTACTACTACTACTACTACTACTACTACTACTACAACTACTACTACTACTACTACTACTACTACTACTACTACACCTACCACCCACCACCACCACCTACTACTACTACTACTACTACTACTACTACTACTACTACTACTACTACACTACTACTACTACTACTACTACTACTACTACTACTACTACTACTACTACTACTACTACTACTACTACTACTACTACTACTACTACTACTACTACTATTACTACTACTACTACTACTACTACTACTACTAATTGGAAATTGGCGGGAGGACGCCATGCGACCTTGCCCTTGTGTGCCACATGGTGTGTACAGTCTGGGGCATGATTCGCGTGACGGGTGTGCCGACATGAGCGGGGGGGATGTTGTGCGAACTTTGTCTCTGGGCCTCTAGGTGGTGTTCCTTGTGTGTACGCTTCGCGTGAATGGGCGTGCCGCAATGGACGTGGGGGCGCAATGTGAACTTCGCCACTGGAGCCATAAGTGCAGATCCCTGTGGGCCACGATCCGCGCGAGAGGTGTGCCGAGGTAGGTCGGGGGGCGGCATGCAAACCACGCCGCTGGGACAATCCGTGGAACTCGCTGCCGGCCGCGAGCCGTGTGAGAGGTGTGGATGTTATCATGCTTCCCTCTGGTGCCGCAAATGTATTTGCTGGGCACGATCCGCGCGAGGGGCGTGCCACTATGCGAACCTTGTCTCTGGAGACGTAGGTGTAGATCCCCGTGGGGCGCGATGCCTTCGGGGGTGAGCTGGCATGGGCGGGGGGACGCTAAGCCAAGCCTACACTTGGGGCCGTCGGTGGAGCTCCCTGAGGGGCACGGTCCATGTGACACTATATGTCCTGCGACGCCGAACACTCTCGGCTACAACCAGAACTCGCTAGAACCTAAGCGCGCGCGATTCTGGTGTAATCGATGTTTTTGTCGGCCGCGCGTTCTATTGATGGTCCCCCATGGGACCCGACAGGATTTCCTCGTGCGCATTCTGCGGCGACCTGCGCCCACCTTTGCCTCCAGTCACCAGCCGTGCGTCGCGGAGCGAGATCCTCCGCCGTTGCGGCGAAGCTTCCCCGCGCGAGGCCCCCGCCCGCGCGCGCGCGCGCCAGCTCATGGAGTGATAGCCCTCCCACTGAGGCCTCAAGCTCGCCTCCACGAGGCCCCAAATCGCCTGCGAAGAGCTCCACGGATGCCCCACGGAGCATCAAGACGCCCCCCAACAGGGGCCACGATCGCTTCCGAGAGGGGTCAGACAGCCACTCGGGCGGTTCAGACCCGAGTGACCCCCGACACGACCGGTGCGGCGCACGTGCGTCTCCTTCGCGCTAGGCCCCCGCTCGAGATTGTCCAGGATCCGGCGATGGCCCGGGTGGTCGGGCCGCCTGCCCCCCCCCCACCCGCTTTGTCCCCCCCAGGTACCCTGACCTTGTCATTGTTGCGCGCGGGCACACGTGGGGCTGCTGCCCAAAGCTAACAATTTATGTGATCGGCCGGCGCCCCCCACGCACCTCCCCATCGGATAATTTGGGTTTACACCGACAAACAAAATCGATCTCCTCACACTCGCGCGCGTGTGGTCGGGCAGCGATGCACCATCGCTCCCCGTCGCGGAGCGAGAATCCCACCAGCCGGTCTCGGAGCTAGACCCCCTGCGGATGCGCAACATGGTGCCTCCCCGCTGTGAAGGGAGCCCCGCTGGGATACGAAGGGAGTTCCCCCCCTGGGCGCATGCGAGGCAGGTCTTCGGGTGGGGGTCGCGCCCGGAGCCTGGTTGGCGCAAGCGCGCGCTTGAGCACGCCATCCCCCGCAAACCTGGCTAGGAGGGTGAGATGCGTGCGCGCTTTTCTTGGCAGATTTCCCCTGCTGCTACTGCGAAGGCCTTACGGCCGGTGCCGCCGACCTTGAAGGGGGACGACGACGACGGCGACGGTGGCGGCTGCGGCGACGACGACGACGACGTGGGCCAGAGTCCCAGGATTGCTTCGTGGGGCCTCTTCGCAAGGCTCTCGGGGGCCTCTATGGAAGAATTTGAGGGCCTCTTGGGAGCCTCTTGGGGGCCTCTTGGGAACCTCTTTGGTGCCTCTTTGGACTTCCAGGGGGCCTCTTGTTGGCCTCTTGGGCGAACTGTCCGTTCGTGTCCCCCATACACTCGTCGAGCCGTCTCGGGGGCTTTTTGGGCCGTCTTTGAAGCGTTGCGGGTTGTTTTATAGTCCTATTGGGGTGTTTGGGAGCGCTTTGGGAGGCCTCCTGGGCAGTCTATGGGCGATCTTGGGCCGTCCTGGAGCGGCGGGCAGCCGAAAAGGGGAGAGCGCCCAAATCTTTCAAACACCAAAGGCAAATCACTTAATGTTGTCTCTTGTGGCCCTCTCGGGAGTGCTCTCGGAGGCCTCTTGGGGCGTTTTGGAGGCCTCTTGGGCAGTCTGGAGAGCGTGGAGGCGTTCTGGATTGATCGTTTGGCGATTGAGGGCCTTCTTGGACCGTCTCGGGGGCCGCTGGGGCACCCCCACTCCCGGACCCCGCCTTGCCCCCCACTTTCCCCCCCCGATGGGGGAGGGATCAAAGAGAAAGGGTTTCTCACGCTGACAAATTCGAGGAGGAGGGTGCAGGGGACAGGGGATGATTGAGACGACGATTGACGGAGACAACGACTCGAACAGACAAGCCCTACACACACGCTGTCAGGGTCGGTGGATTCTTCCCCTGCTCCACCACCACCTTCCTTTCCCGCCACATAGCTCCTGTTCCTCCTCGGCTTCCTCGTCCTCCTCCTCCTCCTTCTCCTTCTCCTTTCCTCCTCCTCCTCCTCCTTCCCCTCCTTCTCCTTCCTCCTCCTCCTCCTCCTCTTGCTCCTCCTCCTCCTTCCCTCCTCCTCCTCCCTCCTCCTCCTCCTCCCTCCTCCTCCTCCTCCTCCTCCTCCTCCTCCTCCTCCTCCTCCTCCTCCTCCTCCTCCTCCTCCTCCTCCTCCTCCTCCTCTCTCCTCCTCCTCCTCCTCCTTCTCGCCCCTCCTCCTCCTCCTCCTCCTCCTCCTCCTCCTCCCCCTCCTCCTCCTCCTCCTCCTCCTCCTCCTCCTCCTCCTCCTCCTCCTTTTCCTCCTCCCATCCTCATGCTACTGCCGCCCTGCCTTTTTCTCCTGGTCCTCCCCTCCTTCCCCCCCCTCCTCCCCCGCTTCCGCCTCCTTCGCCTCCGCATTTGCCTCCTCGTCCGCTCCCCTCTCCTCCCTCGTCCGCGTTCCTCGTCCTCCTCGTCGCCATCCCCACCTCGCGTCGTCCTCATCGCCCCCTCCTCGCTCCTTGTCGCAGCCCCCTCGCCGCCGCCCCTGCCCACTGCCGCCCCGCGGCCGCGCGCTGGCCGAGGCGAAGGCGGAGGCGAAGGCGGAGGTGAAGCCCGCCGCCGCTGCCGAGAAGGCCAGGGGGGGTTCGGGACCCGGACTTCCGCGCGCCGTGGAGGTACGGCGGCGGGAGGTCCCGATGCAATGCGCGGGTCTCTGGAGGCCCTCGCCGTATGTCCCTGGGCCGTCCGCCAGAACTGCTCGGGAAGAGCGGCCAGTCCCCGGAAGGGGGGGGGTTTAGACCTCCGGGGGGCCGCGCAGTGAGCATTCAGCACGGCGTCGGACGTCTCTGGCGGGAGGGGGAGGGGAAGGGGGCGGCGGGAGAGGGAGTGGAGGATCAGGGGCAAGTGTGGAGGGGGACGAGGTGGAGGAGGAGGGGGGGAGGGTGGGATGCTGGGCAGGCGGAGGAGCAGCAGTATGAGCGGAGGAGGAGGAGGAGAGGTGGGAGGGAGGGGGGGGGAGTATGGAAGAGGAGGCCGAGATTGCCTCCCCCCCCCTAACACTGCTTGCCAGACCACAGCTGCGTGAGCTCGCACGCACGATAGCGGCCGCCATATACGGGCGCCGTCCCCTCGGCGCGCCAGCGATTGAGTGCTGGGCCAGAGCGCCACCGAAAGGAGGGAGGGGCCAGAAGGACCCCTCGCGCTCATCACCCTCGCCTCATCTTCCCACTCTCCCTCTTCCTTCGCGTCCTCGCTGCGCATCATTACCCTCCTCATCCTCACCATCCCCCCCTCCCTCCTTGCTTTGACGCCGCCTCCGCACCCCGAGCCCATCAAGATCGAACCCCCTCTCTACTTCAACACTGACACCACATGGAGTACTACTCTCCTCTCTTCCCTGGTGGCGTCCAGGGAATGTCTGGCCCCCCTCCGTGCACTGGTTTCTTACACAGGATTCCCGGGAGTTGGGGTTTTCGCTTGGGTTGTTGTTCAAAATGCTGCTCCAAAATGCTGCTCTCGCTGTAGCGCTGGCCTGATTTTCGCGCTACCGCTCGTTCAGAATCGTGCTCCCGCTGCAGCGTTGGCATCAGTTCCGCGCTTCCGCTCGTTCCGAATCGTGGTCCCGCTTCAGCGCTGGCGTCATTATTTCGAGTGCCATGCCCTGGCATGGTTCTCGATCCTTCCAAAATTGCCAATAGGCCCTAAAATCCAGAAAATGGCCTCCCGAAGAAACCATCGGAAGTGATTACACATTCGGTGTCGATTCGCTGATTTTGGGGGCCGCAGAAGTCCCATGCTATGTCACGCTACGCGTTGATCTTCGACACCATGCTATGCCATGCTACGACGTCCGATTGTGCAAGTAGAGAGGAGATCCACGCCATGGTAAGGGATGGGAGGGAGGGGTAGGGCGTCAGATATGACGCGAGCGCTCCTAGCTTGTCGCCCCCCCCTCCCCTCATCTTTTTTTTTGTTGTTCTCTCTCTGGCTCTCTTTGTCCCCCCTCTCTCTCTCTCTCCCTCATCCCCCTCTCCCTCCCCCTCCTCCTCCCTCCCCTTCCTCATCCCTCTCTCCCTCTCTCTCTCTCTCGCCTCCCTCTGCATCCTTCTCTCTCTCTCTCTGTCTCTCTTCACCAGCCGCCGGCTGCCGCGAGAGGCCGACGCCGCCACGATGGCGGAGATCGACGCCGCGCTGGCTGGGAGCGGCAAGGACGCCGCCGCGGCCAAGGCGCGCCCTCTGGGCCCGCGCCGCCCGCCCGGGTCAGTGCACCCCTGGCCTTGCAGGATCCTTCAAGATCTGGCGCTCTTGGAACCATCGCTTCGTTCCGTACTTCAGCGTTCCGTATATCGGCGACCCGACTGTCGGAGCACGTGACATCGCAGTGGAGAAAAAATGCCCCCCCCCCCCCCCAACAAAAGGATCTGGTGCTCTTCCCTCCCCTGGAGGGTTCCTCCGAAGGGCTTAGGCGACCCGTCCTCCTCCGCTCTCCTCCTCCTCCTCCTCCTCTTTTTCCTCCTCCTCCTTTTCCTCCTCCTCCACAATTACTCAATATGAATACTACTCTCCCTCTTCCCCCGATGGCGGCCTGAAAGTAGCCGACCCCCCCCGCGTCCTGCTTTTTTACACACCGGATTCTCGGGAGTTAGGTTTTCGCCTGCATCTTTTTTCAAAATGCTGCTCCCGCCGAGGCGCCGGCTTCATTTTCGGGCACCCCTCGTTCCGAATCGTGCTCCCGCTGCAGCGCTGGCCTCATTTCCGTGCTTCCGCTCGTTCCGAATCGTGCTCCCGCTGCAGCGTTGGCCTCATTTCCGCGCTTCCGCCCGTTTCGACTCGTGCTCCCGCTGCAGCGCTGGCGTCATTTCCCATGCCATGCCACAGCACACGCGCACACACGCACACACACACACACACCACCACCACCACCACCACCACCACCACCACCACCACACCACCACCACACCACCACCACCACCACCACCACCACCACCACCACCACCACCACCACCACCACCACCACCACCACCACCACCACCACACCACCACGCACACACGCACGCACGCACGCACGCGCACCACCACCCACTAGTCCGCGGATGGAGAAAATCAGCGCCATGGTAAGGGATGGGAGGGAGGGGTAGGACGTCAGATATGACGCGCGCGCACCTAGCTTGTCCCCCTCCCCCTCCCCCTCCCCCTCCTCCTCCCCCTTCTCCACCTCCACCTCCACCACCTCCTCCTCCTCCTATTCCTCCTCCTCCTCCTCCTCCTCCTCCTCCTCCTCCTCATCATCATCGCCCTCCCCTCCTCGGATCGCCTACGGCCCCACGGGAAACCGTCCAGAGCGGCCTGGTCGAGGGCGGGGTTTGGCGGGCGCTCCTGGAGCGGCGCCTCCACTGCTCCTGCTCCTCCTGCGCCCTCAGGGGGCTCCCGATCGGTGCGGTGCCCACACCGTTTGGCTTGGCATCGCTCGGACGCGCGCGTTTGTTTTTCTCGGCGAGGAGCATCGAGGAGCATCTTGGCTCATCGAGCGGAAAAGACGCGCACGAGGCCGAGGCGTGCACGTGGAAAGGATGTCCGTTGCCATTTTGGCTCAAGCCATTTTCGCCGAACCATCGTCTTGAGTTTCAGCACGCACGACTCGGGACTTCTTCACCGCTCTCGTACCTCACCACCTGACAAGACGGTGCCGGCTCTCTCGAGCGTGCTGTTGGCGTGATTGTTCGCAGGCGCGCACAGGGTGGCCTCTTACGAGCTGGAGGCCGCCGCCCACTCCGAGGCCCTGGCTGTGCAGCTCTGTGGCACCCTGGTGCTGCAGCTCTGCGCCTGGATGCGCACGCTTCCGGCAACGGCCGTGAAGGAGGTGTGAAGGAGTTGGGAACCCCCAAACCGGGTGGTGAGATACCAGGTGGCGACTTGGAATCCCCAAAAAGGTCACCGCTTTGTTTGGGGACACGGGGTCACCACCGGGTTTTGTGACTCCTGGACCCACCAGTGCTCGGGACATCCTCGGAAAACCGCACGAGTCCCCTAACCGGGTGGTGACACCAAATCGCCCGAGACTCACCGCCAGGTGTTGTCACCACCACGTTTGGGGACTACCATAGGAGACCATCCCCTGGCACCAGATCGGGTTCGCCATGGGTGCACCAGCAGCGCTTGGAGGCACCTCGCGCCTCTGAAGACGGCAGCCGGCGATGTGGCGACCGAGCTGTCGGCCTCTGTCGGCCTCAGTCACCACGCTCCAGTTGACCTTCTCTAAGGGCCCTTTCAACATCCTGATCCACTTGCCCACTGTTCCTGATCCACGCGCGTTCGGCGCCTCCCGCTCCTTCTCTTCCTCCTCTCTCCCTCGTCGTCGTCGTTGTTTTCTTGCTTCCCCCTCTCCTCCTCCTCCTCCTCCTCCTCCTCCTCCTCCTCCTCCTCCTCCTCCTCCTCCTCCTCCTCCTCCTCCTCCTCCTCCTCCTCCTCTCCTCCTCCCTCTCTCCTCGCTCTCTTGTCTCCTCTTCCTCCTTCCCTTTTCTGCATCACGAGCTGGCGGCCAGCATTTCGGCCACGTTCGCAGGACAGTGTTTCACGTGCTTCACCCGAGTCCGGGGCCATTGCTAGTTTTTCCGCCGTCCGGGCTTTGTGCTTGTCTTCGACCGGGTGCGCGGTTGTCACGATACTCCAGATTTCGTAATAAAAGGGAGGGGGTCTGGACCCTCCAAGACAAGCCATTTCAGACCTCCCCCGTGGGAGAACCCTCCAAAACATCGTGCCCAGACCCCCCAGGCCCTCCAAGATAGCCTGGAAGAGACCCCCCCCGAAATGAGACCCCCCTCCCTTTATTACGGAATCTGGAGCAGCCTTCTTGAAGGGCAGCGGATTCCTCCATCTCCTCTGCCTCTTTGTCGTAAACAAAAAACTCGCCCACTGGTTCGCGGACGCCGCCGCACTGCAGGCCGCGATCCCGCCCTCGCATTCCGAAGGTGCTCGCTGTCAGGTCGAAAGGCAATGGCTCCAAGCGGACGTCGTTGTAAACCGAGGCCCTCCACTGCTCGTGGATGCGTGCTGGGCGGCCAGAATCGATTTAATCTTCGGGCATATGAGCGCCCGCACGACCTGTTTTCGGAGTCGGGTCGTCTTCCACGGACGTCTTGGGAGACCGGGGCCTCCGGGGTCCCAAGGCGGTGCGGTGACGGATTGTGCGGTGAGGTCTTCTGAGGCCACACGATTTTGAGGCCCCCCCAGTCCTCCTCTCCAGGGGGACTCCCGGGGAGGGGCGTCCCAGGTGAGCGGCGGAAGATGCAGGGTCGATTGCCGATCTTCGCGCGTAAGTTTTCCGCGTGAGGTCGCGCGCAAGCGCCCGATTCTCCACGCGGTGTGCCACGCTGGCGACTCGCGTAAGCCGCGGCGTAAGGTCGCTATGGCATCGTGCGTGAGACCAATTTTTTCTTCGTCGTTCAGGTGATGATCCAACGCGCGGCTTCGCAAGATGCGGGCTCGAAAGGCGTCAGTTGGAGGGAGGAGGTGGTGCCAACTACTCAGCATCGTCTATCCGATCGCCTATCCCCATCTCCACTGTGCCAGGGTATCTCAGCCCACCCAACCCACCCCTCAAGTGGGGATAGGTCCCGCGATCCCATGATGGTATCTCTTAGCGAAACCGTTCGTGGTCCGGCTTTGTTGTATCTTCGCGTATTTTTGTTGGGTCTGGCTAAATAGTCACATGTGAAATCATGAATTCATTCGTCAGGACAATTTGGCGGCCCGCAGCAGATGATGAGCCTAGACTGCAAAGAAATCCCAACAAGGGGAAATGAAAAGTAATCGCAACGCGTTGAAAAGCGAAGAGCTCGGCGTCATAGGTTATGGGACAATGACTACACCGTAGTGAGCGATGTGTATTGGATAGTTAGACTTACACGTGCGAGGACGATCAAATCGGAATCATATAGATGATCACAGTCCGGGGCCTCTAGGGGATAATATGATTGCCAGCATGGGCACCAAACAGTAGGTTCCCGCCTTCTCGTCGTGCAATATTGGTTTCGCAACTTGTGTATGTTTCCAACTGTGCGTGGCAACCTATGTGGTACAGTGAACTCCTATGTGGTGCAATATATTGGATGCCATCTGTGCCACGACAGCCAAGGCTTCGGCGTACAAATATGTATTCCATTGGATGCGCGGCCTTCCTCGGCGCCTGGGGGCGCCCCAGCTCCGAGGCATTATAGTATCATCTACCCCGCCCTCGAAAACCATCTTTCTAGGCAGGCTGCTCGGCCTTTGTCTGGCCAGCTTGCCATATAAATTCAATTGCCTTTGCAATAGGATTGTTTCCCGAGTGCACCGGGTGGCTACTCTACGCTTCTTTTGAGCATGTCGTTAGTTAGGCGTTCTTTGACGGCGCGCATTTGGTTCTTCACATGGATTTTGCAGAAAGAAGGTCCTACGACATGTGCGGTTACCTCGTGGTGGCGGTGACAATATCTCGAATGGCAGTCGTGCCCGGTTGTGCTGCTCACTTGGGCTGGGAATCCCTTGGAGCATTCGGAGGCACCCAAAGCGTGATGACATGCTGATGACATCTGCTAACCTGTCCCACCTTGAGCTCGTTGCTCAAAGTCTTCACTTCGTCGTTTCACTATAAGCCAACCGCGCGGGCGCCGCCGCCCGCCGCCCGCGGGGGGCGGCGTCCTGGCCGGTGCGCCCGCGCAGCTCGTTGTGCGCGGTCTTGCTGTCGTCGAGGCTCCCAGGCCGTCAGGCAGGGAGCAAGCGACCTCGGAGATCACTGCTTCGAGAGAACGACACGCGGCACGCACAGCTGCATCTACAGTTGAAGCGGGGCTCGTGCTCCTCCTGTCGCATGCGCGGCCATCGATACACGGGTCGCGCCGCGCCCGCCGAGGTATTGGAGGGAAAAGGGATCATTGAGGACGGGTGAGGCCAGGGAAGGTTAGTGGAGACCCTGCGGAGTAGGGTCCTGTTGGTCGCGCTGCCGGCAGAGCAGCGTGCTAGAGCTGGGGCGGCCCTCTCGGTGCCCCCGCGCCTGTTGCCAGTGTGCTGCGCCCCGCGCTGCTCCTTTTTCCTCCCTCTGCGTCCCCTCCTGATCATAGCCGACCTGCGATGCCTCCGCCAACTGGCAGGTCTGCCTGCGGCGCTGTATGGAATCGCGTCGGCGACCCTCCCCCTTTCTCCTGACACACGTTTGTTCGAGCCAGTGTCAGGCGCCAGTCCTCTCCTTC